GTTCCAAGCTGACCAGCCTGGGCTATAAGACCGTGCTGCAAAAGGAAAATAATTTAAAACAAAAACGTACCCGAGAGTGAGTGTGCTTGTTCCAGACCCTGCCGAATTCTATTTATACAATTCACTGCTACGCTTGGAAAATGCAGTTCTGCAGATGAGAGATAAATACAGGGGGAAAAAAATCCGAAAAACAACAACCAAAAAAAACCAAAAACCAAAGGTTTGTGGTCAGGGCAGCCACCCCACCCCAGCTATTACCCTCTGCAACTCAGGACGCTCCCACACTGCTGTGTACCCTCACACGGTCACCCACACAACTGTCAGGTGTCCTAGAGAATAGACCCCCACAATGTCCTTCACGGAGGCACACACACTGCCAGCCTTCTGTGAGTTCATCCATGTGGGACTGGGGGGGGACACCACGCCAGGGCAGGGTCACCTATTGGCCACTTGTCCCCCCTGCCTCTGGCCCACCAGCAAAAACAAAGATTAAGTCACGGCAGAGGAGAAAGAGAAAGCAGGTTTTCTGGCTCAGACTTTCAACTGTCACGGAAAGGATCTCTTTCCATTCACATTTCAGTTCCCCTACTGACTCCTATGCCAGGAGAACAATTCGTCCTGACAATCCTGGTATTACGGCCACCCAGGGCTTGCAGGCAAGAGTCCTGTAGACCCAGCAGATCAAAGCCCAGAGGAGCAGCACAGCCCGGGAGATAAAAATCTGAGGTCCCCGCGATCGCATCGCATAGTCTTAGATTTCCCACCAAAAATATTTACCAATTTTTGAGAAGACCTGCTTGGTTCATTGAAGGGAACAGGATGAGGTTTGGGTCTGAGCTAGGGAAAAAAGCTGAACAAATATTTACTACTCTCCACCTGCGCTGGGCTGTTTCTGTCCACTGTGAGGCAGACAGGGGCTTGGGAATCTCCAGAGCTGGGGAGCCAGGATGACATATGGAAAAAAGGAAGAAAGTGGCCATATGCTGGGTCCACAAAAGACGAAAGAGATTTGAAGTGAGAAAGGCAACTCTCTTATTATTTTATGTGTATGAGTGTATTGCCTGCATGTGTGTAAGTGTGCCCATGTTGTACAATGCCCGTGGAGGTCAGAAGGTGTCAGATCCCCTGGAACTGAGTTACAGAAGGTTGTTAGCCACCATGTGGGTGCTGGGAATCAAACCCGGGTCCTCTGCAAGAGGGACCCAGACAGGCAATTTTCTACAAGTTTCATGATCACTGGCATGAAACTGGTGAAGGGGCTATGCCAGCCCTACAAAAGAAAATGGGGGTGGGAGGTGGAGGTTGAGGGGTAGCATAGGTGGCTAGTGTGGATGACACAAATTGCTACAAATCACCTGTCCTGCTTTTTTGGTAGTTATTTGATTTTTGGTGTTTCTGAGACAGGGCTTCCCTCTGTAGCTCAGGCTTGACCTTGAACTTTGCTGCCTCAGTTTCCCAAATGCTGGGATCACAAGAAAGAGCCATAACACCCAGCACCTGTCAAGTCTTCACAGCACAAGTAACACAGACCCGCAGGTTTCCTGACTGCACTTACTCTTTGATGGCACCTGAGGAGGGGATCAGGGAGATGCTATGTGATAGGAGCCAGGCGATGGGGGAACCCTGCCTCTAAGCGTGCCCTGCAAAGTCATGGGGGCCGCCCAAGCCTTGGTTTCGCTCCTCCCTACACAAAGTGTCAATGTAGCCAGAATGCCACTTTAGTGAGGGCAGGGAGACACCAAGCCCATGTTCAATAAAATGACCACAGAATGCTGTAGGTGCAATGGGAACTATGCTGTAGGGTGGAAGGTCAGAGGGGCCCACTGGGAGCTCCTGCAGGTGTAAGCACCAGGGAAAGAGCAGATAGGGCCTGAAAGGGTCCTACTTGGCTCTCTTTATGGCCACATCGCCACTGACCACAGGTGTGAGGCTAAAGGACTGTATTGACCCTGCTGTGCACATAAGTAGGAAGGCTGTATCCAGAGCTGCAGCCTGAGCCCTTTAGGATGAGCCACAGTGCCCCAGAGCCAGGCAGCAGTTCCTACTTATTCAGCTTCATAGCAGACACCAGGAGGGAGAGCCCTGTGTCTCTCTAGGCTTGCACCTGCAGGGCCCCTGCTGTCTGGAGACTGGACCCTGGGCTCTGGGACATCCCCGGCCCAAGTTGGCCATTTGTATTCCACTGCCTACCAGATGACAACTGAGTGGCACCAACACCCACTGGGTGCAGAAGGTTGGATATGTGCCAACATAGGCGAACACTTCCATTTTCAAATTCTGGCTTGCCAGTTCTGCAAGCTGCAGTTTGCCTGCAGGATGCTGAACCAGGTGGAGAAGTGGGGATTCCTCCCAAGCCCGGAAGTGCACCTGTTCCTGGCACAGGAGCTCCTCCTCTGCATGTGCAGCACTCACTGGTTACACAGGGTCCTGGGACAGACTCTTCCAGGGCTGCCTGACAACAGCAGCTCAGCAGGTGCAGGCACTAAGAGAAGACCCGGCTACCCCCGTCCTGGCTGCCTGGCAAGTGCCAGAATCTTCCAGTACCCCTGAAATGAAATAAATACGTCCATTCTGAAAACTCCCGTGTACCTGCTTCATTATCTTTCTGCCACCATCGTGGGAACGGAATTAAAGTAGTTAAGTTCAGGGCAGAGGTGCTAACCGCAGGGTTCAGATGGAGATGCCATTTGACAAGTGGATTGTATACAATAAAACAAGAGGTTTGGGTACCAATAGGGAAGGACAGTGTAAGGGCCCTGGACATCCAGGATCCAGCTTCGGCCTAGGATGCCACAGGAGAGTTAAGTGCACACAGGAGTGGACACGGATAAAGCCCTGGCTCATCCTCCATGCCTGTGCCATGCAGGATTATCTCCCCACCTGAGGTGGTCATGGTGACCCTGTGAGGAACCCACACCACCCTGAGTGGATTCCACACAGGTGCCGGGGCCTTGTGCTGGGGGAGCAGTGACTTTGCCTCTCACTTTGAACATGCATCAAATCCAACAGGAACACACGCTGGGCCACATCTTGTGTTGCTTGGGTGAAGGCTGCCTGCTAACAGATGCCCACCACTGGTGGCATCACAGGGCAGAGGCAAAAAGCTGCCATGAGTTTCTCCCCATCCTAGGCCTAGCCTTGTTGAGGGTGTGAAAAGGTTGTGAGCAGTAATAAAGATGATCATTAACTTGGGGAAAGGTTAAAGGTGACCGGCTGGTGAGCGGGTGTCACCCGGGCAGGCTCTGCAGGGAACCGCAAGGCAGGGCAGCGCTGGCAGGAAGTGGCAGGGTGGAGCCGGGCACAGGATCCCGCTATCTGCAGCGCAGCCCAATCACTGACACCCACACAGCCATTTCCTGTACTTAAAAAAAAATCTGTTTCTCTCTTTGCAAATCAACAACTTTTACCTAGAAACTTCAGCGGTGAGTTCTGAGTGATCTCCATCTCCGTCCGTTGCAGAAAATACACCACTGTTTACCTGGGGGAGGTGGGTGCGCTCGCTCTAACTGACAGGTTTCAGGGCTGTTTTGCATGTGCCTCAAAGCAGTCAGTTTCCCTGGCCCCAGATTGACACCTGCATTCAGTACCTTGACAGACCTTTCTAGAAAAGACCTCTAGGCACATCACTCTCCAAACACCCAAGTTCACACTTTGTGGCTTCCAGGAGAGAACCATGCCCTCAGCAGTAAGCACTTGGGAGGAGGACCCTGCCCTTAGCACCTACAGGCTTAGCACTGCAATGGGCACAGTTCATCTCTGTGAACTGAACCTGCATCCAGCGTTGAAAAGAACAAAACAGCAGCTCCAAGGGGCAGTGACAGGGCATTGAAACCACACGTGACCCAGACTCAAACTGGCTCTTGGTCCTGTCTGACTGATGACTTGTCAGGGACCGAGGGCTGACTGAAGTTCAACTCCCCGCACACCAACATTTTTCAACAGAAAGAATTTCCTCTGAATGCCATCTTGCAGGGACTTTGAGGCACCTGCATTCTGAGCCCTATATCCTGGGGATGGCCTAGCATCTGCCAAGGGGTCCTTATACCCCGAGAGCAGCTGACTGTACAGCCCCTGGGACTCCAGCAGGAGGGGTAGCCTAGATGCACAGGGACCAGCAGAGTTTTAGAAATTTTCCTGTCCAGGTGCGAGGTAGTGAAATTAGAGCAAAATTCACTTCTACCTTGCCTTCCAATGCAGTTATAATGCTGGGCCTGGAGGAAAGATACCATCAGGGCAGATCAGTCTCTCATCAGCATGACTGCTAATCATAGTGGGACCTTGGGAGCAGGGTGCCCACTCCTCTGTTCCCACTTAGCCATGCTGTGACCAGCCCTCCCACTGCAGAGCAGCATCCCAAGGGTAAGAGCAACTGGGTGTGACCAGGTAAAGGTGGCCACTGCTATATGCTGGTTACGTGGTCTTCCCCAAGTGGTAAAAGGCCAGGCTAGCAAGGACAGAAAAGCACATTCCAAAAGGAGGGTGTGACAAGGCACTGTGGCCCCCAACACTCAAGTGCCTGAGATGGGACGATCACAAGTTCCAGGTCAGCCTGGGATATACAGTTCCTGACTCAAAATACCATAAAATAAAAGTCCAACTTCGTTTGGTTACATTTCATCTGAAGTAGTTAAGAATACAAAAACTGTGCCCTAGGCTAGAGTCACAACAAACTTGTATGGTAGGACTTTGTTTGATGGTTGCCCCATCTGCCAGTCCTAGGTAAGCCCCAACCCTTCCTGGACAGGACACGAGAGGTGCATGGCTGGGCTCCTACTCTGCATGGACCAGAGACCCAGTATCCTTGAAAAGAGTCAAATGCTTTCCCATCAAACACAACTCATTAAGAGATAGGCTGTGGCGACGGTGGTGGTGGTAGCGACGGCGGCAGGGTACACAGGCCAGCGGTTTGCAGGGTTAGGGTTAGAGGTTAGTACACAATTAAGGTGATCACAGCACTCCATGCCTGGCTTACACCACACCTGCCATACTTCTGTACCTACCACCCAGCAGCGTGTATACCGCAGTACCTTTCTGTCCAGATGAAGCTTCTAGGTAGAATGAAACAAGAGATGCTTAGGACCCCATGGTGCTCTGCAGTTGCTTCTGGATTAAAGCACATGCCAGAAGCCCATTTCTCAAAATGCTGGGACACCCACCACCTCCTTGGCTCTCCTGACAGCTCCCAGGTGGGGGCAGAAGCTGCTGAGTCGCTCATTCCAGACTTGGCACTAGTGCTACTTCCCACCATGACCATGGGCAGCCCACACGATCTCTTGTTTCCCTTTCTCTGTGGTAAGTGGGCATCATGCTGCCTGCCCTGTCTATATTGTGGTCTCCCTTGTACTGGGAGAGATAAGGGCTGTGCAAGGCCTCCCGAGGGCAGAGTGAGGCATACGGGTACACTCAGGCCTCAGTGGCTGTGTTAGCTGAGGCCCCTGGGTCTCAGCCCCAAGCCAGCTCTTGAGAAGTCCTCAACTCTGACATCAGGTTGCTGTGGACACCCTGCCACTGAGTCCAGGATGGGGAGTGGGGGCTCACAGAGGGGAATGGGTGGCCCAGGCAAAGTTCAAAGGCAGCCAGCAGGATGAGGTGCCAAGACACAGAAGTGGCAGGCTCTATGAGACACTGAGAAGGAGGCTCTACGCCTGCTGGATATAGAAGATGGTTCCTCGGTAGGGTCCTAGTACAGTTGCTCTGTGTATGTCTCCACATGAACACGTGTGTATGTGTACATGTAGGAGTGTGCATGAGTGTATGGGCATACTCACAAGTGTTTAAGTGTATGTGTCTGACACACAGGCAGTGTGACACACTGTAAGAATGCATGCTCACCTGTAGGTATGTACCCATTAACATGACATGGGAACACATACGCAAAACATGCATATGTGTGCATGTGTGTTCAAGCCTGTGTCTTTCTTTGCTTTCACGAGTATGTGATTATGCACAGGAGTACACGTGGATGAGAGTGAGCATGCACACACACACTGTCTTCTTGTCAATGTAGGGTATGCATGTATGTGTACACGTGTGTACACACAACATGTACATGCTGTGGGTAATGCATGTGTGCCCACTGTTTGTGTGTATGTGTACGAGCTTTTTCTTCCATGTCTGGGGCAGAATGCCATTGCATAAGTCCACCAAGGAGCCTTTTGAGCCACTGCCCATAAATAGGGTACAGGCCTCTGTACTTTGGGGTGAATCTCTTTCATGTGTGCCCTATAGACTCCAGCCCTTTATCCACTGCTTCTGCCACACTTCATAGAAAACCTCTTCTATACCTGACAGACCACTGGTCAGATCACTCATGATCCACCTATAAAGAAGCCAGTCAACCTGGGCTCTGTCTCTGAGGGATGCTGGTGGGCCACGGTGACAGAAGGGGAGGGCAGCCTCTTGAGGATAATCCTCCCTCTGTCCCTCTCCTACAGTGGGCTGTAGGAAAAGCCATCACATAGACTGAGTGAGCTGGGGCAGGTGAACTGCTTGGGAGCCACAGGGCAGACTCAAGCTCAGGCTGAAGATGAGCAGCTTCCCATTACCTCCCTTCAGGAGAGGAGGGCACACCCCATGGGCCTGGTAACAGAAGCACGACCAGGTGTCACTCTGAGTGTATGAGTGTCCCATGGGACAGCCTAGGTGAAACTGTGCTTAGAAAGAAGCTGGCTGCCCCAGGCCAAGGGATGGGAAGGAGCTACAGGACTTCTGTGAACACCTGCTCTTGCATTAGGGCCTGGAAAACAGGTCTGTGGGCCACCTTTACCCCTACAAGATGTCCCATGTAGGAGTCACCCAGAACCTTAGGCATGTCAGGCAGGTACTCACTCAGCTGCTAAGCCTTCCTTACTGGAAGCACAAGCATTCAATCTGTTGGGGCTGGGGTGTGGCACAGTGGCCCTTTCTGGAGATCAAGGCTTTGGGCAGCTAGGTCACAGGGGAGAAGCAGACCCTGCTAGCAGCCTTCTGCTGACAGGACAGCAGAATGGGGAAAGGAAGCTGAGTCATCCTGCTACATCCAATACAGCCAAGAAAGCCCCTACCCCACCCCAACACTCAGCCAGACACGGGGGAGGCCTGAGCACCCCCAGCCTTCCCTAAGCCACTGTGGGAAAGAGCAGGAAGCCAAGAGGCTGCTGGACCATGGCATGTATTGAGGGATGATGGAGTTGGGGGTGGCAATGGATACACAGACGACTCAGGCAGGCACCCTTGCATGGACAGCATATAGCCTGGACTACAGGGACCAGCAGAGAGGGTGATGGCAGGCAGGTAGGGCACACAAGGCACACACAGCTTGCAGAGGGGCAACAGGGAGGTGACAAGGCAGAGGGAGGCCCTCTGCCCTGGGGTCTGCTCTACTCTCAATTGTTCATTGGAGGGGCCCTGTGCCCGCCGCCCTGTCCCCGCTGGCGGGCGCTGCGAGAGGAAGAAGCGTACTGACCGCTGGGCGGTTTGGGCCGTGGAGGAGCGGGCTTCTTCGGAGGCAGAGCAGGAGTGTCCTGTTTACTTTTAAAGGGGTCATCTGAGAATCCTGCGCCTCCCAAGGAGGAGGTGAAGGGGCCAGAAGGTGGGGGCTGTAAGAGAGGACACGAAAGAGGCAAAAACAGATATTAAAAAAAAGACACCGAGCAAATGCTCCCGCACTGAGCCCTGGCGAGACACCAGGGGTCTGTCTGAAGTTCCCCAGCATTCCTTCACCCTCGACATCCAGGGCCTCTGCCTACGAAGCCACCAGACACAAGCAGCAGAGAATGACCTTGTCCCCTAACAGGTATCCCTTGCCCTGTGCCAGGTGTTTCCTGATTCCTCCACTTTGCACACTGGTCCTTGGGCCTCTGCTCATGCCAAGTGATATGCCATGCCATCTGCCAGCTTGGTGCAGGGATAGACCCTCTCCATGGTCCTAGCTGCCTGCATGTTGTACCCACCCAGTAACTTGGGTTGGTATGTCAATTCCAGCCCAACTCCTCTATCTGCCAGCACAACCACACTGCCTCCACCAGACTCTTATCTGCCACCTCTACTCCTGCTCCTGTCTCTACACTCACTGCTTAAACGTCAACATCATATCATTCCCTTTTTAAACAATTACAGATGGGTGGGTAGATGAATGGGTGGGTAAATGGCTGGCTGGCTGGGTGGGTGGGTGGGTGGATGAATGGATGGATGGATGGGTAATTGGGTGGATGGATGGGTGAGTAAATGGGTGAGTAAATGGGTCGGGGGTTGATGGTATCTGGACAGATGGCTGGATGTGTGAGAGAATGTATGTATGTATATATGGATAAGTGGATTGATGGGTGGATGAATGGGTAGATGAACAAACAGATGAGTGGGTAGATGGGCAAGTAGATGGGTAGATGAATAAATGCGTGTGTAGATGGATGAACGTGCGAGTGGATGGACGGTATAATGATTAGTTTTAATTGCTAACTTGACAGAATCTAGAATCATCTGGAAAGAGTTTTAAAAGGGATCATCAAGGCAGGCATGGTGGCACACGCCTGTAGTCCCAGCACATGGGAGGTAGAGGCAGGCAGATCTCTGTGAGTTCAAGGCCAGCCTAGTCTACATAGTGGGTTCCAGGACAGCTTGGGCTACACTACTACATAGTGAACTGAACTGGGAAGATCTGCCCACTGTGGGTGGCACCATCCTGGACTCTGTAAGAATGGAGAGTACGGGCTGGAGAGATGTCTTAGCAGTTAAGAGTACTGGCTGTTCTTGCAGAAGACCCAGGTTTGAATCCCAGCACCCACATGGTAAGTAACAACAGTCCAGAACTCCAGTTCCAGGGAATCCGACACCCTCTTCTGTCTTCCATAGGGAATGCATGACACAGATGCACTTACACATATGCAGGCATAATGCTCATACATTTTTTTTTTTTTTTTAAAAAAAAAAAAAAAAAAAAAAAAAAAAAAAAAAAAAAAGAACAGAGAGTACAAGCCAGGACAAGCCTGCAAGCATTCTCTCTGCAGCATGCAGCATTTTCTGCTCTTGACTGTGCATGTGATTGGCACTTTAGGTTCCTGGCTTGATTTCCCTCAATGATCACTGTAACCTAGAATTAGAAGCCAAATATGTTTTCTCTTTTAAAGTTACTTTTGTCAGAGTATTTTATCACAGAAACGTGAAAGAAACTAGGACAGGTGATGGAGAAAGAATAGATGGACAGTGGATAGACATATGCATGGATCGATGGTGGGTAGACACATGGGTGGATTGATAGGGGGTAGACATCGAGGGTCAGTGTTGGACCCAGTGTTGGTGTAGCTTGCTCCACCCCAGGCATGGACTCGCTAGCACTGTCCTGGGCTTCTGGTAACTGAGGCCACAGAGAGGCATGGGGCCACATTCTGGGCACTGTCTCTGTCCTAAGGCAGCAGAAGACACCTATGGGTGGAGGCAAGAGACTGAGCCAGGAGGGGAGGCAGGAGAAGTGATACCTCATTCAAAAGAAAGCAGGGCTCTGGGGCTGGAGAGATGCTCAGTGGGCAAAGTGCTTGCCACAAGTGTGAGGACCTAAGTTCAGATCCTAGCATGCACATAAAAAGCCGGGCGTTGTAGCATGCGTCTATGACCCCAGAGCCAGGGAAGTAGTGACGGGAGGATCCCTGGAGCTCCTTGGTCAGCCACCCTAGTTGAGATTCTGAGCTCTAGGTTCTGTGTGAGACCCTATCTCAACAAATAAGAGTGATTAGGGAAGACACCCCACACTGAGCACTGGCCTCCAACATACATGTACCCACATATACATGTGAAAACACAGACAAGAAAACAGGGCTCTGTAACCCCAGATTCACTTCCCAGCCAGGCCCACTCTGGCCAGTGGGAAAGCCTTGTGCAAGAATGCCTGGTGTGGCTGCAGCCTGGGAAGAAGGTACTGCTTCTACTGAGAGCGCTTGTCTTTTTTCTAAGCAAGAAGTGACAAGAGTCTTATTTCAAAACCAGCTGCTGAAGCTTTCAGAATGCTGATTTGGTCAGATTGCAGAGCCCAATGGTCAGGGGTATAGGTCAAGTTCCCCCACTTGGGCTGGAATCCTAGTACTGTCACCTGTCCATCACTCTGTGCCTTAATTTCCCAATCTGTAATAGGACAGATACCGATTAATGATAGGAATGTTCCAGAAAGGAAGTGCCAGGTAAAATACCTGCTGGACACTAGATGCATCAGCAAAGATGGACCAATGAGTTGCCCACCCCCCTGCTCCCCGTTCTCAGAACATGAAGAAGGAAAGTTCCAGAAAAACAATTCTTGAGTTCTAAATAACTAATTAAAAAAAAAATTGGGGGGGTGGTGAGCTGGGCATGGTAGTGCACACCTTTAATCCTAGCACTTGGGAGGTAGAGGCAGGCGGATCTCTCTGAGTTCAAGGTCAGCCTGGTTTCCATAGTG